TGTTCGCGTTAGAGATAATGTTGGGTAACGTTATGAAATTATTGGCGAGTGTGACGTAGAAGCATAAAGATTAAAGAATTATAGTAAACTATTTACTCAATATTGAGCAATATAGTAAAACAATTAGAGTCGATGGATTGAAATAATATTATTTAATTTATTTGTTGTTAATTGCGAAGTGAATTTATACGGTATATTGGAAAGTCGCACAAATTGCACATGTGGCAGAAACGAAACAAAATTAATTCTATCTATCGCACCAGACTCAGCTTTAATAAAGCGGCAATCTAAACTTAATAATGGAACGTAAAATCGTAATAACAAACGGAAATTAAAATCTGTTCAAAATGTAACCCAGAAATGTGCGATTACGGATGGAAATCCGTATTTACGTTTAATATCGTCCAATTACGAGGCAGCAGCGGCAGCAACGATGACAGGAAGCTTTCAGCTGATTGGATGGTGTAAAAGGGTTAGCGCCCCATCCGCAGGGGCTAAACTGAGGGGAGATTGAAATATTGGAATTTTCACTGCTTCTCAATTCTGTTTGAGTATTTCTTAGTTATCAAATGGATAGTTTTGGTATTTCTCTAGCGGATTCTATTTGAAATCGGAGCAGGATAAATTTGCAGCCAGTATTTATTATTTCCTAATGCTACAGCAATATTTATTGTTTCCTAAGATCAGCTTTCGATTAAGGATTTCAGAGCCCGTAAGTTAGGAATTTTGCGACGTAAAGACGAACTTTTACCTCTGTTTGGTTCATAAACTTCACATATAAGATCATATCAATTTTGTCTCTGCGACGATTTTATAGTTTTTGTGTATAATGATGTCGTATGTCGTAACCTGTTCACTATTCCGAAACACGAAAGCTAGATTCAGCTGGAGAAAATCAGCATTAGTCCAGTTTGTGTTGGACTAAGTATTATTATTTATGCAGATATCAACAGACTAGAATAAGGCATTGGTTTGTTTCTTCACTAAAATTGGAAACTGGTTTCAATAGATTAATTAGAAAATAAAAGATTAATTCGGATAGGCGTTTGTTTATACTCGTCCAATAACTGTTTGCAAGTAAAATTAGCAGGTTTTATAACGTCATAGAGTTGGTTTTTCTACTGCTAATGACGTGCTTACATTGTCGCAACGCCACTATTGTTCCAAAATAGTTTGCAACGTCACTATTGTTCGAAAAGAGTTTGCAACGTCATAGTTAGAGGACATACGAAGCAAATATGACACTATATTTTAATATGGCGTCATTGTTTTGACCACAGAACATATAAAGAAGATGTTCTGTGGTTTTGACGTATGTTCGACAATAATGTGGAAATTAGACTGGTTTATTGAACAAGAAAAACACTGGTATAGAATAAAGAATCGCCGTGGCGTGCCCTCAAGAACTAGGTACTCAAGTAGTTGCATATACTAAATTGACTTCATTTCATATAGTTTTTGGGTATCGATAACACGCAAGCAGAAATCATGCGATATCTTCAGAGATCCTGTTTGGTTACAGACTAAAAAAACTTCCTATTACTTATTCATAAAAAAAGTATTTTTAAACACTGAATCGGAAAGTCCGTAACTAATAAAACACGCAAAGACAAGAGCCGTCTGTTTAACTGTACATATTGCAAGTAAGTTTGTACTTATTACTAATAGGGTTAGTGACATTTCAAATGTAACCTTTGTTTACAAGCTGCGATCGATGAACTTCGGGTAACTTCAATATTGGCAGACTTTGTTTAATTGAAGCTTCCTATTAGTTAGTGAATTACATTTTTCAGTTACGTCAATCATGCACATTTATGGTGATTTTCCTTCATTCTTTGTTATAGATCTTCATCTGCATAACTAGTTACAATCTAAGGCTACAAATAAGAAAAACGCAATAAATGGCTGCGTTTTTTTTAGAAAAAATAAAAATTTTTCACGAAGCTGCGTTCATTCGCCTATCGTCATTTGTATGTTGCATGCATTCGTCAAATAACGCGTCGTGGAAAGTATGCCTAACTATACCAACAAAAATAATGATGTATGATTAAAAAAGAAGGACCTTAATAATTTTGAATTTATCAATGAATGAAACCTATTCAGATTATGCGCATTATTTTAGATAGCGGGGCAGCTGCCTATGTCATAGTTTCGTAAAGAGTTTCAAAGTCGTGACGTCATTCGACACGACGTTTATCAAAAAATCCTACGCAATGTTTTATAAACGATCATATCTGGACTTACGCTCATCTCTGTTACCTATTAAATTATTTTAATGTTTACTTAGCACCAGGACTGAAGTAAACTTAAAAAAAAAACAATAAACATCACACTCCTTCGGTAAATTCATTAAAAAAAGCTTGTTTCATAATAATTTTTCTTTGATTTTGATAATGTCAATAACATACATACATACATAACTTCGCGCCTGTCTCCCATGGGGGTAGGCAGAGACTAAGGAACACCAATTACTACAATTCTTACATACCTCTTTTGCTTCAATAACATGTCAATAACATACCTACATTATCAATATGTTACCAATATAAGTAATTCTTGTCATAAAAAAAAGGTTTTACTGAACTAGTTTCAATCCAAAAATAAGGTTTGTTTGCTCATTAGTGGTAGAATGACCGATAACTCCTTTTTTTGAGATTGCAATGGCTCGCACATAAACTAATATAATATGTTTACATGAAGGCCATTGATTTGTAGCTAATTAAAAGAAAACATATTGACTTAAACTCTGAAGGTAGCAGGTGTATAGTGTACTGGATTTGTTAGCCTTGTTAATAACATCCATTAGGTTTAAGTATCATGGCATTAAGTTAATTACATCAACTAATTGGATTAAACAATGTGTCCTCAATAAAATTTCTTATATTATGTCCTAAATGGCTTTTAATGACATGTATATATGATTTAAATAGTTTGAAGATACTTTCATTGATTTATATAATGTTTATATTAATTTTGTTTACGTTCTTTAATCTTTAAATAGTACCTATTATTTAACTGGATATTAATATTGTGGGATTCCTAGGAATCGTTATTGTTTACTTTAAAACTGTAAAAATACATTGGCCTGAACTATTGGTCTACTTATTACACCCAATAGTTATTATAGACAAAACAACACCAATGATATTAGTTAGCAAATATACATATACAAATGCAATATAAAACAAAAACAACAAAACTAGGTGTTACCTTAGCAAAATAAACAGTATTATGTTACAGCTCTATTATTGCTGACACAATAACGATTATTCCAGCAACAATCTAAGTAAACAACGACAAAAACTGCGTAAGTAAATATAATTTGTTGAATCGTGTAAATCGTATGAAAAGAGGTCACAGACCTTAGAGCCAGTGAGTGACACTCGTGGCCCGGTTCACTTCAATAATGAAATGTACTATGTTAGGTAAGTCACAATTAGATGATAAAGGAATGTTTGTTTAATATTTTATTTAATACTGGATAGTTGGATTTAATATGGATAAATGTAATATCATGATTGTTAATTTGTTGCTAGCCAACAGAATAGTCAATAAGATGAGCTGCAATCCTAGTTTGTATTGTTATGTATGTACAGATATATAAAATTGGTGTGTGTATTAGTAATATTGAAACAACCATTTTTTACTACATACAATTTTTATACCAAAACACTTTTTAGAATTTTTGCATGTCTGTCTGTCTGTCTGTTTGTTTGTACTGGCTAATTACTGATATAGCTGACTTTTATTAACAGGTAACTAATGTACTCATTTTAGAAGCATGCAGACGAAGCTGCAGGTTTAGCTAGTACAAGCATAAAATCGAGAAATTTAATTATTGCTACAAAAAAGTCTGATATTTTAGCTAAGTAGTGGGTAATGGATTTTACGGACATCTAAAATATATTTTGCAAGTCCAACTCATATTTAAATCATAGGTACACATGAAACTCTTTTAGATTAACAGGCTCATTAAACTAGTCAATAAAACAGCATTCATTAATGAACCCAATTATCTATGTTCAGTTTCAAGAAGTGTTAAATATGCGATCCCCTAAAAGGTGAGAAAATTTCAATTGACATCTGCAGTGTAGTAACCATTTATAGCATACAATACCACATAGCTGGGACTTTAAAGGCAGCTACTAATTACAGGTGTTAAGTAATTATTACACCAACACCATAAACAAGAAAAAAAACAAAATGTGCACAAGGCTTTACATTATTTGACAGTTCTTGGTCATTTTGTCTATGACAGGATATAAATTGCTTACTTGTTGGTGTTTAGTTGTAAAATAATAATTTACTTTGATTTAAATAATTTGGTTTAAGTAGTTTATTCTTATTTTATCCTTATTCGGGGTTATAGCAAAATTGTACACAATTGTGTAGCAATTAAGATTGATTTTCCAGTTTTAGGTAGGTAAAAATCTATACAATGTTAAGCAACAAACAAGAAAAATGTAATATTGGATATTTTTATAACAGCTGTTTAATCAAATATCACAAACAGTAGATTAATCTGTCAAACACCAAGCGGTCACCGGTGACCGCGACCTATTGTACTTTAATTGTGTCTATAAAACCGGTACTCAACGAGTTAAGTTTCATTAACAACAAGCTCGTGTTATTCGGGTAGAAGATAAAGTAACCAGAGAAGTGAGTCCGTGTCACACTGAACAGAACAGGACTGGAGAAAGAAAGTGAGCATAATAGACATCTGGGTTAAGACCTTCCCTGACAGTAAAATAGATTTCAGAATTACATTTACATTTAACATACATTTACATTTAATTGCATTTAATTTTTTAAATGCAGATAAATGTAAAAATGTATTTTGAAGACAAAAATAACATTATTTTATACCAAGATATAAAAAATTGTGTGCCTAGCCTATGTAGTTCGTATAGAATCATTGAACAAGGCAGATACTTAACTTACTATTTATCAAGGTACGCTTTGTTGAAACATAACATAAGATTATACTACCTACCTTAGCATTAGGGATTGTCTAAAATTAATAAAGTAGGTAGGTAGATATAGGGCTGTGACAGTTATTAGGAAATTTATCCATGTGTCAATAATGTTATCTACTGGTATGTGGACGATTTCCGCTTTGATAACACAGCTGTGCTTATGACCTTGGGGTTATAAGTTTCAAGGATATTTAGGCAACTGATAATGATGTAGGTTAATGACATTTGAACAAAAAGATAACCAAGATAAATAGATCAGGAAGTGATTTTCTTTGTTGTAAAGGTACACTTTACACTGATACAAATCTTCTAACTTGGTTGTTATCATGAAAACCCAGGTCACACCGAAGAAACTATCATACTAATTCCAGTTATTACTGAGAGTTCCCATATACTTAAATGTAGAATCAGAAATCTATTCTACTGAATTTTTAATCTTTCTAATAAGAATTTAGGCTTATAACCTACTACTTGTATGAGAAAATTATAAAAATAGAGTACCACAAATTGTAACCGAACATAATAAAGAAAATCCACCCCAGTATACATATGAACAGCTGTAGACTATAGAGTTAATTCTTATTTGTGAAGTTATAATAACAGTAAAGAACTCACCATTAGAGCTCTTGAGGTCCCTGTGGATGAGCGACATGGGCGCGCCAACGTGAAGGTACGCCATGCCTTGCGCCACCTGAATGGCCCAGTCCACCAGGATGTCCGGCCGTATTTTACGACCAGATAGCACTCGGTTGAGAGGCCCACCGCGCGCATATTCCATCACCAGACAAAAGTTCGGCTCCCCCAGACAGACCCCCTTCAACGACACTATATTCTCATGTTGCAGCACCCAGAACAGTCTCGCCTCTTGCAACACACTCTCTTTTATAACTTCGATATCTTCGTTCGCGTCCTGACGCGCCGCCTTCACCGCTACGACTTCACCGTTCCAATAGCCACGATACACTTTCCCGAAGCCGCCTACCCCGATCACTTCCTCCAGTTTCAGCTCGGAGAAGGAGACGCGAGGCGGCTCCACGGCCAGCGGGTCTTCCTCCGTCACGTATACGGCAGGGAATATACCGACGCGATCGCCGATCTTTCCCGTCCACCAGCCCTCATCGCCGGAGATGTTGGCGTCCTTGGACAACACCTCGACGATCTCGCCGCGACGCAGGGAAAGCTCATCCTCTCCCTGTGCCACATAGTCGTAGACAGCGGTGAAGAGAGCGAGCGGCGGGCGTTCGCTGTCGGCCGCCATGGCCGCGCGGCCGGCCGCTGGCCGCGGCGGCATCACCCCGGCCGCGCCCCCATCGCGCCTCTCCTCCTCACTCACGCACCCCGACACTGCTGCAGCCGCCGCCCACTACAGCACATAACGCTACACACGACAAAACAACGCGTTTGGTTATGATCACCGTATTATTCCGCCATCTTTGTTTCTAACATCGATCATGGCGGTGTTGTGTAGAAGCGAGCACTTTTAGAAAATCACTTAGGTGTTGTTACACGCGCGCCGTTATGTTTCGAGGAGATACGAGAGATGTCTTCGCTGCGATAAAGTTAATTATTTTCCATTCATCTATCACGTTCTTTGATAGACGGACGAAATGACAACCATACCGTAGCGAAGTCAGTGACAAACTGACAAGTGGTGTTGCTAGACCATAATACAAACGCATATTTGCAAGTTGTAAAAATTGTGAAGTATAATATCTAAATATGTAAAAAAAGATAATATTAATTTTCAAAGAAATATAATTAAACGTTAATAATTGATAATAAATGGAACTTCTACGTTATAGAATTAATTAGTGTATAGGTACCGTGTTAAAGACATGTGGCACATTTAGTTTCAATGAAAACTCATAGATGGCGCTTAACATAACTATTACATTGGGACAATATGACAGTGCCATCTGATGTCTGTCGCATCGCGTAGTTAGAAGACAGAAATTAATTTATTCAACGCCTTAATTTCGGGTGGAATTGATAAAAATTTAGTTGAAAGTTATTATTTTCTTATTATTATAAAACTTCTTTTTTCTTTATTGCAATAATAATGTATTGGACAGTAATTTCAACAGCACATACAAGTGGTCCCATGGTGTAATGGTTAGCACTCTGGACTTTGAATCCAGCGATCCGAGTTCAAATCTCGGTGGGACCTGTGAACAAACTCTTTTTGTCATACTTTTTGTATCTTTTTTTTTCAATTTCACATTCATTTTTGATCTTTTTAAATGATTTCTCAGACATTTTCGTGAACTAGAAATACACGCGCGCCTTGATAAGAAAAAACGGGAAAATAGAACGCTAGTCTGTGGGAGTCTGAAGGGATGCTGGGTAGGGAGCATTATTGATCGCGCGAAAATGGGATAGTCGTATCCATTCGCGGCGACCACCCAGCCCGCGGACGTGGGACCGGTTTTCACTCTCAAAAACACGTCGATACGCCTTAAATATTAGATTAATAACCGAATAAGTATCTAAAATCCCTCAGTTTATGTATACGTGAATAGAAAAATGTAATAAACATTCAGGGCATGTGATAAACCGACCGCGTTGATTCTAAACACCATAACGTGACTTGTCACGGGGAAAATGCTCTGATATTCGCCTACACCTCGACAATACACTAAAATCATGTGAAATTACGTTAAAACAGACTTATTAATAAATTGTGATATTATTAATTTAGATGTTCGAAGAGTGTTCAGTTTGTGAAGAGTGAGAATCAAAAATAATGATGGCCGATTTACTATCTCCGGGTTAGATTTAAATAAAGAATGTGGAAAATAATAAAAATGAATAATTGTTTAAAAAGTGGGCTGTGTTTGAAGTGGCGTTGGCGTAAACGTTGGCATGAAATTAAAAAAATATTCATTGATTCGTACGACGGGGGCGTGAATGAGTCTTTTTCATAGCTATTTTGTGTTTAGAGATAGTAAATAGTTTAATAATAAAGCAAAATGAATACTTTTAACGCACCAACCACGCAGATAAATGCGATTGATAAAATGACAACTGTGAAATGCAAGTCTGTTGATTTAGAGGGATATGTTATTATTGTAGTGCAAACCAAGGATAATAAAATCAAATTATACGGTAAGTACAAGTTTTATTCAAAGTTAAACCTTAATTTCTATTAATTTAAGTCTTTTATTTGAGTGGTTTATTTAAAAGTTAGCCATTTTGGTAGTTTCTTTTTTGCTAGGTTATCTCGCTGAAAATGACGCGACGTCTGAAATTATTAAAGGTTTCAATGAATAGAATATTATTTATTTGCACCTAGCTAAGATTAATACAACATTGTTTGTACATTCATTAGATAGATAGACTACATTATTTATCTGTCTAGGTACTGAAAAAGAAGAGAATAAAAATCTAGGAGTTCTATAGTTTGCAGTCGATCGAGCGCCCAAAAAATGTTAGACATTGTTTAGTCCTTTCGTCGTTTTAAGGACCACGTCAGTATCTACTTTGTTTTAAACATTAAATGACTAAGTATTTTTTTCCTATTTCAAGTTGATTGATTCTAGTCATAATTATTTGAAAAGCAAATAAATAAAGAGTCATTGTGTTTTTATTATTTACGTAGGTAGGTATATGATGATGTTAACCCTTTGTTATATGGCCAGCCGGGTGGTATACTTAAATGAGATCAAAATTATATCTTACCACCTCAGGCCTTTACTCATACAAACATTTGTGCTTTTGCCCTCTTATTACGAAAAGACTAAGCTACTTAAAGATGTACCTAGAAACTCTCAACACCAAGGAAACAATCAACCTACCTACAAAATGTTGAATTTAAACTTTCATCATCACCAACAGCCAGTTCTAGACCACTCCTGGACATAGACCTCGCTAAAGGCACGCCGCTGAGCTCGATCTGGAATTTAAACTTCACTTAATTTTAATGACAACTACATAATACTCTACGCTTACATCTAACCGTTCTTTTCAAAACAAAATTAATAAGGCAAAGTCTGGACAAGGTCTTCTTTTGACCTTTTTCTTTCAAATCCTTTTCCGGATTGTGGATACACCTCAAAGTTTTATAAAGAACTTTGAAAAGTGTGGCCGAATGTTGAAAAAATACGAGTTACAAAAGCTTTCTATTTTTCTGGGTTTGCGCTCCTTTTACTGTGGTGGTATTAAAACAAAACCATGCCTTGATACTTTGAATTTGCTTAGGTATGTACGCGGTAAAAAGAGCAACACCTAGAGTAACGAGTAACCACTTAGGTATATTAAAACCAACCCTTCTTCCCCCATAGTCAATACCTGAGTCCCCAATTGCTAAAAGACCGGCAACGATTGTTCATACTTCATGGGTGGTGACGATAGGTTGCTTACCATCAGGTAATCCGTCTCCTCTACCTAACCTAAACCTAAGGGATATTTTGGATATTGGACCTAATCTCATTTAAGATCACATTATTTTGGTAATCAACATGCTTATCTTACAGGTTCACCATCAGCCGGTAATTGGGATAACCTGGAGTTAGCAGACGAGATCATGGATGTGAACGAGACTCGCCTGGAAGACATGTCGAGGGCAGAGGTGCTTGGGCATATACATGAGGTGAGTAATCTTGGATACAAACTTTATGGGCAAGATCCCAAGAATGAATAAATCTCATTGCAAGCCGTACATAAGCTAGTTGCTTGTTACAAGTAGATATCGTTTTTCGATATAAGAGGTAGAGGAAAAAGAAACTATTGCAAAAACAAATAGCCAATAGGTTAATTTAACTATCTTACATAAAAAAAATAGTCCAAAGAAAGGACTGAAGTAACGCAGTCGGTACCGAATCGATTGTATTTCTCCAAACCAATTTTATAGAGTTAGACTGTAAATATATAGCATTTGAAATATCTAAGGACTTACGTATTTAAAAAACTGTAAAACTCACAATATTTCACAGGCCCAAGTCAAGTTTTCCCGACCACAACACTATTTTTGCGGCAGAAAACGCACTAAGTGGACGTTGAATCAATCTATTTTTAAAGAGGTAGCCATTGGGGCATTCTCCGCCCTTCCGCGAGGGGTGCCAGTAGGAAAATAGCTGGGTACTTAAATAAATGACGATCTAAATGGTGTAGTGGCAGAGCATCTGTTTTCTCCACTTTCTGGTGAACTGGTTCAGTTGATAGGACTTTTTTACTTTAGATCCTGAATTCAATCGTTCAGATATTATCGTTGAGTGATGTTCTGATTGGTAGACTTCTCTAAAGTATGTGTTCTTAAGGTTAGATAAATTATATTAAGTAGATTTGGCAAGGGGGTTTAATACGGTAGTTGACAACTAGTCAAATTCAACACTTTTATCGAAATGTCAAAAACAATACTGTTCTATGAATTTTATACAAAATCCCTATTAATTTCGTTATCATATTTTTGCGTCAAATAGCACACTTATAATTAAAAAAAATGCTAGAATAAATCGAAAATTAAGTATATTTGCAAATCAATGAATGAAAGTGTAACTATTTTTCAACATTTAATTTGGCTGAAAAATCAAATTAATTTATTTTTGACCCAGGAAACTATCCAATTACTCTGAAATAGAAAATTTTATAGACACGTTTCGGATACTATATAAATACTTTTGAAACATATAAACTAGGCGGTAGACCCGTAATGTTATTCTAATTTATATTTATAATACCCTGAAATGCTATCGAAATACCTAAAACTGGCATTTTAGAATTTCTGTAACTACCCAAAAAGTCACCTGCTTCAATATTTCACGTGGCCGTTATACAAAATTAGATTTCTGAAAAGTCTATCAAGAATTATCTTCGAAAACAGCTTTTTATAAATGAATTTTATTACTTGTCCACAGTGCATTTCATCGTGTGTCATCAAACTGCGCGTGAAACGAAGGAGTGAGACCAAATTACGTAAGTAGTTAATATATATCATTTATTTTTACTATTTAAACTGTCAAATACCAAGCGGACACCGGTGACCGCGACCTATTGTTCTTTAATTGTGTCTATAAAACCGGTACTCGACGAGTTAAAATAGGTACTTATATCCTGGGAAAGTATGGAAGGTTCCTATTTGTATATACATAGACGTTAACTATATCGTGATAAGGCAAGTGCACAAGGAGAGCTTATTAGTCACTTGGTGTTGTATTTAAGGCATGGTTTAGACAATAACCGATCTTAACTTAACAAAGTCTCTGGATCAATTTAAGTTTATGACAAAAACACTACACAAGTAGATAATGGCAAAATTTGATCTTAATTTAAAGACTTTGGGTTGATATTCGTTGTTAATTTTGGCTGTTAGACGTGTGAAGTTTACATACATATCTGCTACGATTTTCATTGGACAGTATACCAGTACCTACTAAGAAACGTAGTATATCTGGACATCTTTGACGATATTATGAAATCATCAATTAAGCAATGTAATCTTGTCTTTGAAAACTGATTCGGTTTGTAGACTGCACCTAATAGCAATGTGCTATCAAAACTATAGTGGTACACAATGCTAATTGTCGCGGAGAACCTAACGGGTAACCGGGGCTCCGGCTCGACGTGCAGGAGAAGGAACGGGGTGGTTTTTAGTCAGTCTGACACTCCCTTCCGCCTCACCCAGGCGGGAGCAGTCATTCGATGATTTTCCCCCCTTAAAAAAAAACAATGCTAATTACG